GTCGGCGATGTCGCACCGATCAGGAAGAACGCTCTCTCGTGTACCTTAAAAGAAACCGCAGCGAGAGCAACGCCCCATCGAAAACGATCGACCGCACACGGGGTGCGTCATTTCCCCGACTCTTTTCTCCTACGTCTCCACCCACCATCTACCTATGGCGCCTTCGCTGGTCATTTAGTGGCATTTGGGCATGTATGCCATGCATGCGTATTTTCTCGCGCATCAAAAGGGAGGGGGGGGGTCCCGTCGATCAATGCCGTCGCAGAGGGGTAGGTACACCGCCAACCACGCACGGCGGCATACCACAGCACAACTCAGCAACACACTCACAGCGCACCATGGCAGCCAATCGCGCCACACCACCAAAACTTTCAACCAATCACGCCATGATGACACATACAAACCTTTCTGGTCCACTACATACTCGCGCCGCCACGCCAAAAAACAAGCCCAATCCATTCGACCAATCGTGCCACGACGCCACCACCAAAAACCCACTGCTCCACCAATCTCGCCGCCACGCCAAAAAAAACAAAAAAACTACGTAGCATACACGCACCTTCCTGCTTGACTTCCGCCCGGCCCCGCCGCCCCCCTTGCCGCTGATGGCATCCTCGATGAGGCTTTGGAGGTGGCCGTGGTTCTCCTTGGACACCTTGGCCACCGCTGCCACGATCTGGTTGTGCACGAAGCCCATGATCCTGTCGCTGAAGTCTGTCTGCGACGAGCTCTGTAGTCGGCACTGGCGATCGCGTCGGTAGCGCACAGAAGGTTCGCGCAAGGGGTGGGGGTGGGGGTGGGTGGGTACGGGTGGTCCTTGTTGCTGATTGATGTCTGCGAGAAGAGCTCTGTAGTCGGCACTAGTGATGGGGGGGGGGGGGGCACGAGGGCTTCTATCGGTTTTCATGCAACCCCCCCAAAAGGGCTATCTAAACGTGCATAAAAAAACTAAACATCCACTACAAAAACGGCATGCAAATTCCCTCCCCCACCCCCCCGAAACTAAACAAAAAAAGCCCCCTCTCTACCCCTGTGGCCTTGACCTGTAAAAAAAAAACTGTCTTCCGTCTTTCCAACCCCAGCCGAGCACGACCCCCTCCCTCCACACTGCTGTCAGCTGTCGGACACCAATATAGCAGTAGTAAACAGCATTAGGGCGACAAGGCAACACCGACAGGACGGCTCTCACCGCCTCCGGACCCTCCTTCGTGAGGACGTACTGGTTCACCACCGTAAACTTGTCGCCGTAGGCTACCCCGGGTGTCTGCGTCCTCGTCTCAAAGGCCAGGAACGAAGGGCCTGTTGGCCAATTACCGTATAATGGAGAAAGGGAGGCAGCGTTCCGAACCAGCCACGTTACACGCACGCCGGGTGGGGGGGGGGGGGGGGGCCCTTTTAAAATTTAAAAAAATAAAAGGATTCCCCCGGAAGGTTTTTTTTTTGGCCTTGATTTTAAAAACCCCCAACCTTTGAGCCCTCCGTCCCCCCACCCCCCCCCCCGGTTTTGGGGGAATTTTGGGAAAAGCAGCTTGGGCCCAGGGGAAAACCCGGGAAAAAATCCCCCCCCCCCCCCG